CAGCAGGGAAGGGAGGATGAACAGAGCTGAATTAGGCCTAGTTCTGGAGTAAAACCTGACTTAAAGTCTATTAAAAAATGGCCCAAGCTACAGTTTAGAAACTATTTTAAGACTTAAAAACTGGTAGGTTGTATTTGGCAAAGAAGAATGGGCAGAAATGTTGGTGTTTAGATGTCCAAAGCTGGAAGAGACAAACTCCAACCTTAGTAGAGACTCAAAACAAACTAACACCATGTTTTTTAGGGATCTATGGATAATATTTATAAATAATGTGATATTTTTTCTTTCATTTCACAAATTTGGACTATTAAGAGGTCCATGGTAAGCCCGTAAAATCATAAATGTCCCCTCACACCCCAACCACGGACTGCCGTCTGTGAAGAGGCTTCGAAGCATCCAATGCAGGTCCAGCAGATTCCATAAGTTTCTTCCCTACTGCCATTAGACTGTTGAATATTGTGTAAAATGGGTTATTTTATTAAAAAAATGAATGTTAGAACTGTAAATATACAGTCATACGTTTATATTATTATTTTTGTATGTATTTATTACTGTTTTCAAGGCTGCACTTTGAAAAATGAAGTTTTCTAGAGCCTTTTTAAACAAATTTTCTTTTTGTATACACTTGTGTATACAAAATGACTAAATAAACCTGTCTAAGTCTATGTCATGGCATAAAAACCCTGGGATTCTTTGTTTGTATTTGCATGAGAAGAGAAGTTCAATGGCTTTGATGCTACAGCAATGCAGGTTCTATGTTGAGGGGAGGTGGTGTAGTGGTTTGATTGTTAAGAGTAGGCGACGATAGGAGGGAGAAAAGCATGAGGCAAGATTTGATCTTTTCTGGTCTTTTCCTATGCAGGAGACGATGTTCAGGCCAGGCCTCTGCATTATTTATGTTCGCAGCACATCTTGAGATTAAACATTTGCTGATTTGTCAAAAGCACAAACATGAGGTCCTGCCCATCTCCTTGACATATAAGTTCAGCCGACACAAAACACCGTCGCACATTTAATTGATGAGGACTGCGGCTGGTGACCCGAACCTCCGCCGCGCTACACCCCTCCCCTTCCCCTTCGTCATTCCTTCTTCCCAGCTCTGATGGAGAAAGGCGAGGCTCAAGGTCAAAACTTCCCGCGGAGCGAGAGCAGATTCCAGGAAAACGGAGGCTGCACTTTATTTCTGCCCGCTTCTGTTTATACTGTCTTTCACCTTAAAGGTTCCAAGACCAGACTAAGAAATAATAATAAAAAAATACAAAAACAGGGAGGGAGAGAAAAATGTGCTATTTGTCAAACTAGTGACACCCTGCTAAGTGCTAGTGTTTATGGGACACTTTCAGAGGCCTGTGAAGCAAAAATAAAGAGATATAGTTTTGCTTTATGAATTAAACTGTTGTCCATAATTTGTCTGAAAGGTTGAAGCCCAGATGGTCAACAGAAAATAAATTAACTTTACACCCATCAAGATAAAATGACCTTAAAAATGAAAATAATAAAAATTAAAAGATTTAAAACTTAAGTGTATTACCTGATCTAACTGCTCCTGTTTAGAGCAGAACAGCATCTTTTTTCCCATTAATTAAAAAAATTATATTATTACGGTAACAATGTTAATAACAAAGTAACTGGATTCTATTCTGTTTCTATTTTAACACTTGGGGAAAAAAATATTAAATAAATCCCTGATGGGTTTAGTGGTTAAGAATTCAGCAGTACTACTAATAGTAGTGCTTCAACAGTGTAGGTTAAATCTTATATTTTTTATTTGACATTCGTTTATATTCACAAACTGTATGGGTATCACTTTATTGTTCCCATAAGTAGATTTTCTTTTCAGAAAATGTGTGAGAAAAAAAAAACAACAAAAACAATAATTTTAAAACAGTAGGAAAATAAAGAATCTCAAGGAAAAAAATAACATCCATAGTTAAAATCAACAAACTAAAATGAAAACAAGCTTTTATTAAATAATGACAGATTATGCATCTTTTAATGGCTGATTTATACTCCAGATGCTTTAAGATGCCATCAACAAAACTCAAACTTGTGTTGAAATACAAACTTAACTTTTTAAAATCTTATAAGTAGAATCCTGTAGCTACCAATGTCAACATTTAAATTACAGCTACATTTTTAAAATAAATTAATTATTATTAATTCTGTGCTCTAATGTCATTTTATTTTAAAGTGTTTTGCAATTTAACAGCCAACAGAAGCCAGAAAACCGTTATTGCGCTTTATACTACATAGATATTTCAAATTCATACCACAAGCATCCGGATTTCCGTGGAAGGTGGTGCTTCTGCAGGAGATCAAGATCAGATGACTATAAACAAAATTAATATGACACCGACTAAATCAATTATCAAACAAATGATAAACAGCCGTCCCTAAGTGGCTAACCGTGTAATCGCAAAAATCTACTTAACCCCAACCCTAATAAATATTCATTTGATGCTGGGGTTCTGAGCCCAGCAGCCACTGTGCTGCTTCCTCCTCCTCTTCCTCCTTCCCCTCCGCCTCTCTCCTGCACTCTTCATGAAGGAGCCATTATATTAGCGGGGGGCCACAATTAATCCATTTCTCTCCTTACATGACAGCCTCAAAATATTCATTAGGGCCCGACTGCGCTGACAGGCCGTGCTTATCTTTTACCAGTGGCTTTACAATGGCCTGTGTCAAACGTATGTTTGTCACGTCCCTCTTTATTGATTAGCTGCCAGATTCACTTGAAATAATTAAAAGATTATTTTACATATTTATAAACCTCACTGCCACAGCGCCTACTTAATTTTCCATTAGTAAAATGCAGTCTATTAAGTGCACCGTGAAGGCCGTGGAGGGGAGGAGGTGAGGGGAAATGAGTAATCACTATAATTGTAGACAGAAAGACAATAACCGCGCCATAAAAGCTGGGATTTTATGACCTGTTCTGGCAATGCTATCTCTTATCACAAGTCATGTCGGCTACGGCGCTCCCAGATAAGGACACACTGACACGAGGCTGGCTCTCTCTCTCTCTCTCTCTCTCTCTGCATGGCGGGGTGTGTGTATGTGTGTGGCTGACATTTCCAAAACCCCAGCAGATATAAGCTGAACAAGTCCCAATAGACTTGCTGGTGGAAAATAGAGACTTGAAAGCAGCAGTACATAGCCGGAATACTTTGCTCCGCTGAATGTTTTATCAATACCGGGGGTTGCCAAAAGTGCTGCGGGTCTGTGGAGAAAAAGCAGGAATTCTGTGACCCCCGCATAGATTTTCGGCTTTTAATGTGAAAAATGAGCCATAAAGCAAACATAAAAGTAATAATTTTTCCTCAAGGTCTCACCTCCAATCTGTGCTAAGGAGGAGTGGTCAGTCCCAGGAGGGCCGACACACTCTGGTGTCATGGCAGTGTCACCGAGCTACTCCAGAGGCTAACGTTCTGCCGCCCTTCGGATGCTCACAGTCTTAT